GGTTAAGTAGAATGCGAAGTAGCGTTTAAACGTAAAACTAAAATTGTATAGGTTAACTAAACAATAGAAAGAACAATAAACGAACTGAAAACAAAACCATAACGAAATAAAAAAAAAAAATATAATTTGCTACCTCGCATTCCTGCTCCTTTCGAAAAAAAGAAAGGGATTACATTAATCACTGTTTATAAATTCCCAATTTTCGTATCCTTACTTTTAAGGACCTCATTATACTGACAACACGAATCCTGACCAGAAAGAAAGAAAAGGAAAGGAAAGACTTAGAAAGAAAAAGTGTTGTTCTCAGATCTTCAGCTTCTCTACCTTCTGCTCCGATTCAGGTTACGGGAAGTTAAGTCCAAAGACCAGCTAAGCTGCAATAAACTATTTAGATCAATAGATTTAAGATCACGTGATCATTATTTACATACTCTTTAACAACATTAACATCTACAAGTCACCGTTGTGGGAAACTGGTGTCAGTCTAATGCTTAAAATTGATGTGAATAACTAGACTGAGAATTAGCGTTTAAATGTAAAACTAAATAGTCACAGCTTAACTAAATGAGAGAATGAATAATAAATGAACGGTAAAAAACATGTACAAGTAAATAAAAATTGAACTTTTTACTTCACACTCCTTCCTCTTTAAAAAAAAAGATTAATTGTTTAAAATTATAAATTTTAGTGTCCTTACTTTTAACGCCCTCATTATACCGACATCGTCAATCTTAACAATTTAAATACAAATACCTTTCAAGGCTAAATTATTCCCTTTTCTTCTATATTCGGCTTTAGCTTCCGGCTCTAGTTCAGTTCAACGTAAGTTGTTGTGTTCCAAGACCAGCTAATCTGTGATAATTAACTAAACTACTCACATCAAGAAATCAGAATTCATGTGATAATTACGTGCACACTTTCCCAACATTAATATCTGAATGTCACCCCTACGGAAAATCGGCTGCAGTCTGATAATTTATATAATTTTAAAAATTGATGTGGTTTACTAGAATGTGAGTTGGCGTTTAAATGTAAATTAAAAATAGACAGATTAACTAAACGATAGAAAAACTAATTGAATGGTAAACAAGAGCATAACAAAAACAATTTGCTATCTCACACTCCTTTTCGTAAACTGAAGTGATTACATTGATCACTCAAGAGTACAAATTTTGTATCCTTGCTTTTAACGACCTCGTTATACTGACATCATGAATCCTGCCCAGTTTAAGTACATATACCTTACAAAGAAAACTCGTTCATGTTCTTCTATCTTCACCTTCTTTACCTTCCGGCTCAAGTTACGGGCCGTCCTCGAGTTCAGACAAGCTAAGCTGCAATAATTAATTAACTAGTTAGAAGAGATTAATTCATATGATCATTATTTACATACTATTTATCAATGTTAAATATCTGTACGTGACCGATATGGGAAACTGGTGTCAGTCTGATAACTCTTAGAATCTGAAAGTTAATGGGATTACCTAGGAAGTGAGTTAGCGTTTAAGTGTAAACTAAAAATTGACAGATAAACTAAACGATAGAAAAAATAAGTTAACTAAACAAAATCATAAAAAAATAAAATAGTTTGCTACCTCACACTCCTTTCGAAAACCGAAGTGATTACTTTAATCACTCCTAAATTCCCAATTTTGGTATCGTTACTATTAACACCCTCATTATACCGACACCGAGAATCCTTTACAGTTTCAGTACAGATACCTTACAAAAAGAAATAATTCATGTTTATGAATCTTCATCTTCTCTACTTCCCGGCTCTGGTTTACTTTACAGGAAGTGTTCGAGTTCAAAGACCACTTACGTTAGGCAGAGGACACAAGTGACTCATCAGCACGTTACGTCGAAGGATGAGAAGTGGACACACCAGAATAAGTACTTTATTTTGATGGAAGGGAAGCCGCAATCTAAAAGCCTTCTTGTGCCATTTAAATTTTCTGGAACGGCATAGGACGATGACCATTTCTTCTGGTGTTTAAAAAAAAATTTCTGGAAAAAAATTCATTTTAGAAACGTAAAATTGTCCTATTAACACAATATAACCTAATTTATATAAAAATGGAGAAATACAAGTCGTAACTTTTAACTATTCATTCAGTCTTAGAATAAAGTTCAGTAATAGTCACTCTAGAAAATATTTGATGTATTCTTAACGATAGTAGTGAGTTACCTACTTTTAATTTTGTTCGAAACAGACTAACGGGTACAAACTTCTCGCTGTATCTTCCCATGTTTTTCAGCGTTGGATGTTGCCTTCTGTATAACATTTCTAGATATTTCTGTTCGTTCACCTTCGGTTCCATATAATGTTGGATATTTTGTTTCCAAAAAGCCCTTTTTTGACCCCTTATAAACTATCAAATAGGCTGCATACAGTGTATGAAGGAGCCAATGGCCAGAACTTTCTACTAACACGAAAGAAAAACATACCATCAATAACATTTTAATACTTATATAAATAAATAGAAAAAGGAACGGAAGAAAAACGTGTATAAAATATCGAATAACAACAAAAACACTTACATCGCTATCTCACGTGAGAAAAGTCATTGAAACTCATGATAGTTTTTATTCAGAACACTAAATTAAACATTTTA